CCTGAACAGAGTATGGTTTTCAGCGATCTTGCTCTAGAACAGGGTATGAATTTCACAGATTTTACTTTGGAACAGGGTCAGGGTTCAGAGGGCTCAGCGGCACATCCCTACCCTAAACGGGCAAGAGTACCCCCCCCCGGGATACAAGAATAGCTGGAATGGCTTGTTCCTACTTCTTACTGTCATAAAGAATATGGAGCTTCATGTTGACATGTATTCAACGATTTTTCTAGTCAAAAAAACCATAATTCTTTCCCATCTTGGAATGATTTGTCACCTATCTCCTATATCTCTTTTGGCCCTAACAACTTTTTTGAAAGAGGTGAAAAGATACCGATAAAGTTATCCTCATTTCTACAAGTTACAATCATTATGGAAACTTATGTGTCAAGTATGGAATAATTATAGTTGCAACTTTGTTTCAAAGGCAAAATAAAATATTCTCTATCAAAGAACAAATTGAAACAATTCAAGAGAACACGAAATTAAATGTAGCCAACAAATTTTCTATTACTACAATGGTTTCAGATACTGAATAATTACAATTATTATAATTAATAGTGATTTTTCACAGAGTGTGAAACAGTTTCTAGAAGGTAGTGTGTATTAAATTAGTCAAATAGGCACAAAATAAAACGAYAGACAGAAATAAAAATAATATACTAAACCTCTATTAGTCTACTATTTCATTGTCTGAGGAAAATCACTCCATAAAGTAAGAAGTTATCGAAAATATGACAGTCTCTCTCCCACTAAAGTAAATGGAACATCCACGGGTACTGGGAGTGCTGCCACAAGAGGGGTTCAAGTACAGTCATACACTTTCCATGTGGATCTTCCTTGGGCACATAGGTACCTTATATTAGTCTCTTTAACTGGGAGAAGTACATTTTATCAATAGGTTCCTGCACAATACCCATTTTATGAGGGTAATGCACAGTAATGCTTGTGTCCTATCCTTATCCATATTTTGTTGCTAACTTGTCAGTGTCTATACCTTATCATTACAGATAATGGGTAGATGTTCATATACATACTATGCAGTTTGTTGACCACATTCTCTTTACACCATATTTTACCACAGTTACATTACTAATCAAAAGCCTGAAAAAGAAAAGATTTTTTTTTCTCGGTAAGATATTTCTTCGCGGATAAGAAAAACATCAAAATTAATTGAAACGTTCTGGAAAATTTAGCAAAAATATTTAAAATTGATTCATACCAAACGAAAGTYGCGTTCTTGTTCTTTTCTTCTAATTTCACTGAGACTTGAAACTTCATCAACTTTTCTTTGAAGAAGAGCTTAAAATGAAATGTTAACATTAATTTTTTCCTGATACTGACATTGTGTCCTTAAGGTAATTCCCTTGTTTTGCACTGTGCATTTTTCTGCGCATGCAACTAAAAGCATGGAACTAAGGAAGTTTAGGCATTTTTATTTTGGAAACTGAATAAGAAACATGTTCAAAACCGATTTTCACTTTTTTCTGTTTATTTTTTTGAGTTGAGAAATTGCGATTTTTATCTGACTCGCCCCAGTCTCCACTCAGAAAAGTGTCCGTTTTTGACAAATTTTAGATTTTTTTCAAGATAAAGGCAATGCTYGTCATTATATTTGAAATATGAAGGATAAAATTTATTGGATAGATTTTGAAATAATTTGATGGATTATTACGGATTTGTATGGCCCTGCTCACGCCTCAGCCTTTGGCAGATAACATGGCATTGGTCTTGATAATTTTGCCTAGCCCCAGTAACTGTTTATCAATATTATCAGATGTACTATAGGCTCCTGTTTTAATGAAACATTTGCAGTAATGGGGTCAGATTATTTCACATTTTTGTACATTTCATACATACAAATCTTACAGTCAAACTAAGAAACCATGAACACGATAAAATATGTCTGGAATGTTAAACATCATGTTCTGACTAACCACATGTGAGAATGAACTCATTTCTATTAATTAACTGTTGCATGCAATTGGTCAGAACATGCATGATGTTTAACATTCCAAACATATTTTAGGTGTTCATGGTTTTCTTGACTCCAAGCCAAGGTACATTTGAATGAGTAAATTTTGAGGCAAAACGTTTGAGACCCAAAAGTCATCAAAATTGTGGTGTCTGGTATGTCTTCAAAACTTCATGTGAAATAGTAGCTTTTAACCTTAAAATGTTTCAATGAAATCCTGCTCTTTTTATTAAAAAAACATTGAGTCAAAACCACTGAGTCTGGTATAAGGCTCTTTTCATATTGGTAAAACTTGAGTGAGTTTTCCTAAATAATTTGTTTTTGAAAATTGTTTGCCTGACATTTTCGCTGCTACTGTGAAACCTATAGCTACTACAGTATACTTACTAGTGTGTACATCAAGAGCAATATTTATGGCAACTGGAAYGTAATTGCTAGTAAGCTCAAAACTAATTTTATTCAATCTCTTTTCTGTAATTTTCTGTGATGCAGACCTAATAAATKTATAATATTGAGTATCTATAGTATCTAATGTTTTCCTCAAAATTGCAATGCCAGCAGAGAGCCATTTTCTTTGGTACCTTTAAAGAATATTTCTGATTTTATAATATTTTAGTGTCTACTACAATTCAGAAGTCTGTAGTTTTGAAGGATTTCTGAAAAATGTGTTATATTGTAACTTTGAGCAGGGGGTCAACCCCAGTGGATGATTCAAGAATGCAAATGCCTATAGCCCACTACCCAAGAAATTATGGGTGCTTCCTTATTTCTAACTTGGCTATGTATAGCAGATCCCAAGTAAAATTATAAAATTGAAAGACTGAATATTCTAAAATTACCTGCATTCTGATCAATCCACTGTAATGAGTTCATGTGCGCATTTAGGATCTTGGCTACTTGTATAATCTAACATGAATCAGCAAAAGGAAAGTGAACGACTTAAAATAAATATTCTGATCCCTGCAAAAACTGCGAGATCCTAGATCCAAGTGGTATAGCAAGTTTATTTCATAGAATATATATCATTGATTATAATTATGTAGTCCCCCCACCCCCTGGTACTTACTGGGTCATTATTTTCCTGTTGGGTAGAACCAGCTTTATTGAGATGCTCAATAATAGATTTCAGGTCACCCACCATTTGCTTCAACTGACCATCAACATCCTTTGCTAGTCCATATCTTAATTTAAATAAGTTAGATAAAATAAATATCATTTTCCAAAGAACAACTAGAGGGGAAAAAAAAAAAAGAAAAAAAAAAGAAAAGCTAAAGGGCTGCTGAACTTGTAGTGACGATTGGAATGGGGTTAATAAATAAGTCAGTGTTTATTGGCTGACACAAAAAAATTTTTTTTAAAGTGGAGGATAATAAAGTTAGAACATTACGGCTGTAAATGYTTTTGTACTATGCTTTCTGAGCTTGTTAAATTCAAGGATGAAACACAGATCTTGGCAGCTTTTATCCTGAAGAAAAAACTTACGTAAATTCTCGTTCTCTATCTGCATTTTGTAGTTGCCCTGGACCTGTGATTCTCTTCTGAAGTTCTTCTTCCAGTGGTTTCAACAATACTTTTAATTCTTGCTGTTGTGCTAATATAAAATCAAGTTCCTCGTCCAGCCTCATAAAACCGCAAAATTAGTATTTTTTTCACTCTAATGAAAAAATTGCTGTACTGAATTCAAATGAGTTGTGAAGCTACATCAAAAGCTTGCTGCTTTGTGTTTTAGACACTCTTTTGATATATTACACAAAAACTTAATGACATAATAATACTGTCCTTACCTTTTTTGTTCTGCTTTAACACTTTCAACATTGTCATTCAATTCAGTTATCTGCAGTACATATATATTGTATTAGCCCTCCAACTACGTACTGTACCTCATCAATTATTTCAAAACTGCCCTTTATTTTTACAGGGTCACTATAATTTCAAGGCCCCTCTTTTCTGACCCATACCCCCCTCAGTAAATAATGAAGGCTTCATTAGCATAATATCAAAGTCCTACATTAAAGAAGGAGATTACTTAGAAAAATGATAAATGTTAATGGTTATTCACCTTCTCCCCATTATCGATTAACAGTCTGTCCCATGCATTCACTTGTGCTGCTTGATCCAAAAATGTTCTTTCATGATCTTCTAAATCTGAAACCCACTATAAAGAAAAAGTAACAATTTATCATACTATTTTTTGCCTCGAGCCATCAGGCGAGCGGCAAGACTAATCTTTACAATTGGGATCCCTGTGTGCTATATGTCAGAAAGAATTTCAATTTGTGGTTGTCAAGATAATTTTCAGAGTATGTAGTATGTTTGTTCAGCAGGTTTTATCATGAATTTGTGCCACGCTGAAAGCAGGTTGCTCAATTTGCTGTTTACCAAGGTTCGCTTCTTAAAGATAAATTCAAGTAAGCCTTCTTTTTCATACTCTAAGTCAAACACAAGCTAATTTATTGCTGGAAGCATTTGGTTTAGTGACATTTCATGGGGAAGACAATGTTCTTTTGAGAGTTTTTCTACAATTTCATTTGCTCAGACTTTGCCAATCAAACACCGTAGATCAGATCCTTACGGAACTTAAAAGACAAACCATCCCAGATACCTAGAGGTTGTCACTCAACTTTCTCCCAGAGCTTGCTGGTCCTCACCCATTGAGGCAAATGAAACAAAACTGTCGGCCATTGACGTGCGTAATATRTCACACCCAGGGTTCGTGCTGAGGTAACCACTTAAAATTCAAGGGCTATTCAAGGAGTATACAAGGACCCAAAAATGAAATTCCAAGGAGTATGTTCAGCTAAATATGCCAAGGTTTTCCATGGTGGTTGCACATGGCYGACTTTCACAATTTCCAATCTTTCTGACTAGATCTATTTCAGAACCATGCAAGTAATTATCAAAGAAAAAATTCACAAGGAGTTTTCAAGGAGATTCGCTAAAATCATAAAATTCAAGAGCTTTTCAACTGCCTTTGAAAACGTGAATTAAATTCAAGGAGTTCAAGGAGTAGAACCAACCCTGCACACCTGACCGATTGCCAGAGGCAAAAAATAATCAATCACCTATTTTGTTGACAAATGCTGACCTATTGTTTTCACATACCATAAACATCTCTTGATATTATCTTATACATACTCGCAGCATTTTATTTGCATTATTGCAACAGCTAGTTTATAATGCTATCACTCCATACTGCACATGCATACACATATTTCAAAAACCGTTGGCAGTCAGAAGGMAGAGATCTGAAATCTGGGACCAAGTAACATACTGCAAAATGTAAAGCCAAACAATTCAGTTTCCTTTTAGATTGGAATATGAAACATTGCTATTGCCTGGTTCCCTGCCAGGACCTACATGTACAGTTTTGTATAGTACATATATATTCATTTTTCCCTACCAGTCAATTTAATTCTTGGTTTTTGACCTGCCTAGCAATATTTAATAAACTAAGTTACAGGATTTTAGTTTTGGGTTTTCAGTTTATTGGGAACTGTATTAAATGCATTGCAAGAATCATTATGTGACATACTTTGTTGATATGTTCTTCAAGTTGTTTATAACTCAGTTGAGGTGTGCTACTGGTGGTAATTCCAGCAGTGGATGCAGTTGTTTGGGCTGTTGGAAGGACACTGCAAGAGGAATAATATATTAAAAGAAGGCAGCATTGTTTTTTTTTTAAATTCAGTGTTTCAAATTCTGAACTAAGATTGAGCTTAATCTTGTCCCCAGGCTACTATCTTTGCTGTTTGGCATGACATCACACATATGCCTCTCCGACACAGTAAGTAGCCTAGCCAGATCCTATGGGAGTAAATCGAGTGGTCTATGGGCAATATGCGAGATATACAAGATGCGATTTAACAGAAACAACGAAAAACAACCAAAAAACATGTAAAGAAGTAAATAAAATTGGAAGATAACTCTGAGCATTTTACCAGGCTTTGTGTGTTAGCTCTGAAAGTTCTGCCATTTTGGATTTGGACAAGCTGACAATGAATAGCCTGGGGACAAGGTTAAGTTGATCTAAGTTAAATCAGAACACAGCATAATATGCAACATATTAGCTTACAGTGAGCAAGAATTTCCTGTGACAATGGTATAGGGAGAATCCCAGAGGCCAGGAGGGAGGGGACAGGAACATATTCTTAACACTTTCAAAAGACTGATGCTTGGCTTTTTACATACTTTAACTTTGCAAATTTGTAAGAGCTGATTATCAGCCATAATTTAAAATTTTCTGTTAAAAATTGCAGCTTTGCAATCCTGGACAAAGCTCGACGAGACTCTTCAACCTCTCTTTACATTTTTGGATTTCAGACCACTTTCAGACCAAAACTTTCCCTCCCTTCCTCAGACAGAGTCACCACCAAAACTTTCAAGGCAACATTGAATATGGGGAGAGATGGATTTGTGGGGCATTTTGAAAAAAAAAACATTTGGTTGTCCAAAAAAGTTTTGTCCAAGATTGTTTTATAAACAGCTGTTGGGGTGTTTATCAGCTATTTTCAAACTTGTGTTAAAAATATCATTTTCAATACCTTGTTGCAGCTTTGCTTGTTGAATGTGCTCCAAAACTGGGTAAAGCTGTACCAGTACCTGCTGAAGAGAAAAAAGCAACAACTTTGTATTCCTCTTTTACAAAAACATATAAGRGCTACTGACACTGTATCCAAGCCAAGGTTTGTCCATGGATGCCAGACTGAGAAAGGATGTCATTATATTGTTGTAGTACCTCCTGTTGATGCTATACCAAGAGTAGTTGAAGTAGTTCCAGCAAGTGTGTTAGAYGTCTTGGCCAGCCCAAACCCCAAACCTCCTGATGCTTGAGTACTCCCTAACCCTGTAGCTGCAGTGCTTGCAGTTCCAAGTTTGAAGCCTTGACCAGATGAAGCGGTTGAAATTGCCAGTCCCAGTGAAGGTGCAGTTGCAGTTGCCTGAGGTGCTGATGTAAACATTGATGGAGTGCTGCTTATTCCAGTTGTACTAGTTGTAGCTGCAGAGCTGCCTGGAATACATATTCAATTAATGTAATAACCCTTGGCTTAAYACTGTTGCTGTTGTTGGTTTAACTTTGTTTGATTATTTGACTGGCATTTAAATCAAACCGCCCTTTGGCAAACTCGTGGATACTAGTTGCACTTTCCAGAGATTGGGCTCCAACCTGTGTCCTTATGCTTGTTGACATTTGAAGGTTTTAAAGTATTTTGCTCGATTTCATATTTTAAATACTCAATTTAGCTGGTAAGATGATAAGCTGTCCTTTTATTTTCCTTTTAATAACTACTTTGTTTAGTTCTTTGTTATTTCGTTGAGTTTGGAAGCCAATTCTGTGATGAATTGATTGTCTGAAGTTACTTCAATTACGAAAGACTGCTTCAACAGACTTCTATTTGCTAAGTCTTCTGAAAAACAAATTCTGGATTTTGTTTTGAATTTAAAAGTCGGGCGGAGTGCTTTATTTCAGGTCAATCATTGGTATAAGCCTTTTTGGCTAACAAAAAAAGTTGCGTTATGCGTTACAACTACTTATTTTGACCTTCAAGGGTCATGGCGCTTACAATTGGTTTGTTGCCTGAAGTGTTCACATAAAACACTTTATTTACACTATGAACTAAGCGAATGTTTTATAGAAAATTCATTTAGAAACACTATTCCATTTGAGTTCATTCAAGTCTGTAAATTATTCATTGGAGTGAATTCTCGTTAGTTGCCTCGAGCGACATCTGTTGAGTATATTTGTACCTCAAGAACATTGCTTCGGCTGTTTGTGATGACTGACAATCAATCTACTTTTTATTCAGAACGTCGGCTTAATATTTGGATGACAAAATTTTCTTCAATACTCCATGACGTTTTGAAATCTAATGAAAAGTTCCTATGAGTCTTCTGAAAAAATATGTTGATGATTGTACATATGAGCGTTTACTTTAACACATCAGCAAAAAAAGGTTTGACTCATTGGAATTTTAGTTTAGGTGTTAATTGTACTATTTTACTTCAACTTGCATCTTTCCTTGATTCTTTTAATATAAATAATCCGAAGATAAAACTAAGTGTGAGTGTGCGCATGTGTACAGTGGGTCTGCAGTGCTAGAAATATCCCACTGACACATCAGTAGTTCATTTCGTTCTATAAATATCGAAAGTAGTCTATGCTGAATAAGAGCTTTGTGCTTGTTAGTGTTGTGTAACGTTTGACAGATGACATGAAACAATCAATAAACCTTTAATTATCAATCAGCTAACATCTTAGTGAGCGAGTGACACATCTGCATATATAGAACCCTCACAATAACTCATTTCTATGCTTKGCGTATCCAYGAGTTAAAAATGATATTGAGGAACAATAAGAAATGATTTAGATATTGATCATAAACACAAGATTATGATGTGAATTCGAAAAAAACTCTCCTTGTTTTTACAAAGATTAACACTTAATAGTCAGTGGCTAACACAACTGTGGCCCTCTTTTTATGATCAAATTGTAATTTGGGAGTTAATTTTTGGAGAGGAAAACCAGAGAACCCAGAGAAATATCYCCAAAGCACAGGTCAGAACCAACTAGAAACTCTGCTCATTTACAACACCAAGCCTGGCAGGACTTAAAATCCGGCTCATGGACTCTGGTACTTCCAGTTAGGGACCGGTCTTTCATTAGAGGGGGGGTGTGGGATCGTGGCCACCTAAGAATGAGAACATAAAACAACATGACCCACCCCCAACTCATACCCAACCTGGGCCTGAGAGTTTTGAAAACACGTCGATTTCCTTCACTATCTTGCATCTTTACCCCTGAAGATAGGTCCAAGATAGGGCACTAAGTCTGACATCCATACACTTTCGGTTTTACCTACACATGACCTCATCATACAAACGCACAAGCAAATTATTTTTCGATACATCATATCAAGACTGCCCCCTCCACTCGTGCTCTGGCCATATGCAGCATATTTCCCCTATTCCCTGTGTTACCTTCAAATTAATCCTTAAAAATTTCATATTTTCCTATATATATTTCAATCTACAATACTCATACAAACTCATTCCCATCCATATCCCCATGCTCTATAAACACTCTTACGCACCCCTTAACATTTTACCCACCGAAAACCCTTTCCCCTCTCCCCTTGTTTGGGTCCAAATACCTGTGTTTTCCATAGTATTCTGGGATTCACTTTAAATTTACTATGGAAATGTAAAATAAATAGCTTTATACACTATATCAAACCTGAAATAGTTGACTAAAAACGGATCAATTCACTCACATGTAGAATCACTTAAARAAATATCTTAGACTACATTAAAGTAGTTCGTGATTTACCAACCTTAATACTTGACACTTAAGCTCAAGACTTCAAAACGCGAACTTTTCATACCCCATAATGGACTCGCCTACACTAACTCGCTGACAAACGAAACAACTCATGTAAAACCTATGTAAATGTCACTTCAACCTTTTTAAACCTCAGATGAGTTACTTCAAGACTTTTTTATCGCTATTAAGCTTACTTGATGTCATATAAATGATTCTTAGAACGCAAAATTTTTATACCCGTATTATCCGTCGAAGGACACCTGACACCATAGCTTTATTAAATGCCGACTAGTCGGTTTCTTAAATTTTACAGCATTTTGAATCGGTTGGGTTTTTTTACATAAAAGGATAAACTTTATCTAAAATATTTTTTACAAAATGTCTTCCTATTTGAGTGGCCATGGTACAAAAAGCGGGTAATTCAGCCCCCGATTCTCGGGCAAATCATTTTMGCGTCTCAAATTCACTGAGTCGTAACAGAGGTTATATTTTGGTTAAAAAGTTTTACAAAAAGTTTTTCCTTTTATTTTTCTTGTTTTAAAAGCGATTCAAGATGCCGTAAAATTTAAGAAACCGACTAGGCGGCATTTATATAAAAGCTATGGCGTCAGACGTCCTTTGATGGATAATACACGTATAACAACTCAGTTGTGTTCTAAGAATTATTTATATGTCAAGTCTAAGTTTAATAATGATAAAAAAGTCTTGGAGTCACTCAACTGAGATTTAAAAAGGCTAAAGTGACATTTAAATTGGTTTTACATGAGTTGTTTCGTCCGTCAGTGAGTTAGTGTAGGCGAGCGCTTTATGGCATATAAAAAGTTCGCATTTTAAAGTCTTGAGCTTAAGTGTCAAGTAATGAGTTTGGTAAATCAYGAACTATATTAATGTAGTCCTAATATACGGTTAGATATATCTCTTTAAAGTGATTTTAAAGTTGGCGAGATGGCAAACGCACGTTCGATGATTTTATACGTGGGCAAATTGGCGTGGGTGAATTAGTCCGTGGGCGAATTGACTGGTTACCCTTTGTTTTTTGTTTTTTGTCGTCTTTGCTTGACAAAATGGCAGTTGTGCAATAGTACCCATATATGGATTTAAATGACGTGTTCATAGATTCATAGGTTTACAGGACATTACCCAGTAGACCTTTGCGGGCTTCTACTATAGGGTTACCGTCCATGGGCCAACTAATTAGCATATGGCAGTTGTCAATCAATGTTACTATGTTATTAGGAGGGGGAGGAGTTAGCTTATCAAGTGACAGAATTAATGTGTAATTCAAGACTGAGCTGAATAATTAGAAATTCTAATTTATTTCCTTGTAAAAATAAAAGCTGACAAGGATTTTCAAGAATTCTTATTGTAATGGCCTGCAGCTTATTGTGATGAACTACACATTAAGAGAAATATTTTTTCAATAATGAGCAATAAATGGCAAAAAGCGGCAAAAACTAGACTTTCGTATGAGTTTTGATCCTACTTTTCGTTTTGGGTTAATGCTCAAAACCTTTTTTAAACAGTTAGAAACAAACGTGTAGTATTGTGATAAAATGCCTGTTTGAAGCGGTGTTTTCAATTGTACRATTGAAAGATATTATGTTGTATTTGTGTTAGAATGTTGCTTTGTCAGGAAAAAYAAGCAAATGAAGGCCTAAACCTCATTTTTTGAATGAAATTTTTGCTTTGGGTTAACACTTTAATTCCACTTTCATCAGTCATCTCCACTTCCAAACAAGTTAAACTTTCTGAATAACAAGATTTTAGCCATGTACTGTACAACAGTCTTTCTTCAAGAAAATAGTTTTTGGCGCTCACTGCTTGGATACAAAAAGAATTCTCTCTTAATTTGTTTCAACTTCTGAAGCAGTATTCTCTGTATCCAAAGATCATTGCTAAGGAAGGAAAACAGGGCTTCAAAAGCAAATAATTATGCCTTTTTGTTCAATACATAAACAACAAGGCTCATTCTGATTTCATTCCAGAGTTTTGTACTATATTTCTGCAGTTTCTTCAATCCAATTCTGAAGTTATATTAAATTATTTTGGCTCTAAAGACTACTATACAAATAAACATGAAAATAATACAGAAAAGGTTATTCAGGCTTTTAATATATATTGTTTCGAAGTAATAAGAATAACTTACCTAAAGAAATTTTGCATACCTTATTGACTTTAAGTCAAAGATGAGAATATGTGGACCGCGTAGCACTTATGAAATACATGAAGATATAGGAATATAGATAAGTTATAGTGCTTGGGAACGAGGTTATTCCGGGTGTAAGCCCTTGGAATTAAATTCGGAAAATTCGGAAATCAATTTTTCCGAATTTAATTCCAAGGGCTTTCGCCCGGAATAACCTCGTTCCCAAGCACTATAACTCACCTACATTTCTATGACCTTAAGTCTTTCAACTTCAAATTCTAACTCATTATAGAATATGTCCATTCGGATTTAGAAATATCAGTGAACATAAAACTATGAAATTTAAAGCAATTGCAAGAAAAATCTTTGATTGACTACGGTCTTAAATGAAGCATTTCGATTTATAATTACCGAATTCTGGAATTGGATCAATTCAAGCAAAATATAATTTGAGGTCATGGCACTTTAGGAGAATTCAGACTGTGAAATGACGTTAGACCCACTCCCTCTGGACCCTGTCCAGTCCCACACAACCCATTCTACCCTGTTACTAGGGTTAAGTCCCAGTCCTTTCTGGTACTTGCAAGGACTCCAGGGTCTAGTTAACAAAAGAGCCCCTACTTATTCTTGCCTTTTTTTATAATTTATAACAATTGAACTTTACCTTGAACAGAACTAGTACCACTACCTCCGAAGGTAAACCCTCCTGTAGACAGCGCTGAAGCTGTATTAGTACTAGCAGAGGGTACTGACCCAAACAGACCTCCTGCTTTCTGGCTTGGGGTACTACCAATACTTATGTTTGGAGCTGGAGCTGATGCTGCTGTTGCTGTGGTAGGGCCACCTGACAAACCCCCCAAGCTGAAGGAAGGTGTTGTTATAGATGCACCTGAACCAAAGTAAAAGGGTTTTGATGCTGGTACAGAAGATGCAGCTGTGGATGTATTGCCAAGTATAAAACCTTTAAATAAACAGAAACATTCTTAAAAAATGAAACATTCAAGCTATGTAAAAGCTATATAAATTGGAATTAACAAACCAACCGAGCTCTGCTATAATTCAACTGATAGCTATTTATGGAAAGTGCCCCTATATGCAAGGTGCCCCTATATGCAAGGTGCCCCTATATGCAAGGTGCCCCTATATGCAAGGTGCTCCTATATGCAAGCCAGTGTTACCAACACTGCTGATGTGATTAACTAATTTCATTGATTGATAGCGGAGCTCCCGCGCGGGCCAAAGGCCCGCGCAAGCAGAGCACCATACTTAAGAAAAAATGGTAACCATCGAGTCGACACAACACAGGAATTCCACTTGATATCAAAGCAAAACTTCTCACAAATGCAGCTATCAAATGCATGAAAAATAGTTTTAGGAAAAATTATAGACCAACAACAATTAAAAATAAATTTTCATGTAGTCAAAGGTAGATCGAGAAGTGTTCTGCAAGAAGTCAGGTGTGTGTTTTTTAGCAAACAATAATATATCATTTGATACTGATTTTGACAAGAATTTTTATCAACAAGTCAAAGAATTTCTCTCAAAACTTTTAATATTTCTATAGATAAGTTTAATTATTGATCTTAAAGCTGGATGAAATATAATCAGGAGAGCAAATATGTATGGCGGGGTACCATCAACTAACAAAAGAAGACTTTCATACGATAACTTTATATCTTTCTATCAATAATTCATTTAAAAATATTGAATGACATAAAATTGCACCAAATATTTATCTGTTTATTTCGAGCTAGTATGATTATACAAATGATCTGGAATTTGTGCTGTTGAAAGATGTTATTGGATGAAGACCTTGTCTTTCACTTTAAAAAGCCACTAAATATTCAAAAACATCTGCAAATGCCAATTTACTGACAAGGAAATTCATCATTTTATATTTTGCATGCATTTTGCTTTATTTTTCTAGAATTACAGTCAATTTGCTCATGCCAATTCGCCCACATATGAAATCATTGAACATGTGTTTGCCAACTTGCCAACGTTAAAATTACTTTGAGAAATAGCTAAACGAATATTAAGACTATATTAAAGTAGTAGGTGATTTACCAAACTTATTACTTGACACTTAAGCTCAGGACTTTAAAACGCGAACTTTTTATATGCCATAATGGACTCGCCTACACTACATAACTCACTAACGAATAAAAAAACTCATGTAAAACCAATGTAAATGTCACTTTAGCCTTTTTAAATCTCAGTTGAGTGACTCCAAGACTTTTTTATCATTATTAAGCTTACTTAACATATAAATAATTCTTAGAACGCAAACTTTTTATACCCATATTATCCGTCGAAGGACATGTCTGACACCATAGCTTTAATAATAAATGCCGACTAGTCGGTTTCTTAAATTTTACAGCATCTTGAATTGGTTATTGGTTTTAAAACAAGAAAAATAAAAGGATAAGCTTTATGTAAAACTTTTTTAACCAAAATGTCTTCTTATTTGAGTGGCCATGGTACATAAAAAGCGGGAAATTCAGTCCTTGTTTCTCGTTTCAGTGTCTCGAATTAACTGAGTCGTTAACGCACAAAACAACTTATAAACCCAGTGACGCCATGCCATATCCCATGTAAATGTTAGTAAAATAACCAGTACAGTTGAGTTTTATCTGCCATGGAAAGTTGTACCAAGCTGTTGGTGATAAATTATAGCTTAGATTTGGGTTAGAGTTACTAAAATGGCAAAGAGTCATTAAGATAATAAGCAACAAAGATGAAGTGTAAACATAATGTGAAACTGACTCAAAGAAGTGAAATGTATATTTATTACGTAAATGCAAATTTCTCTTCATTTCGATAATATCGTATCTGGTTTATATTCTCCATAAATATGAGTTAGTAGACAAATGGAATTTGGCGGCAGTGGTGTTTTGATGAACGAGTTAGAAAAGCATATGTTTAAGGCAAACCTGCCACACTTTGTTTCTGACTTCAACAACACATTCAAGTGTATTGACTGATTTATTTATTTAATATAAAGACTAGTAAATTGTAAATAAATGAAATAACGCAGTTAAATTCCACCGATCAAGCAGGATCTGATTAACTAGTCTTTCTTTTTTTTTATCAAAATCTCCTACAGTTCCTAAATCTCCTAAAGCGTCCTCTACTACGACTCAGTGAATTCGAGAYGCTAAAATAATTTGCCCCAGAAACAAGGGCTGAATTTCCTGCTTTTGTACCATGGCCACTCAAATAGGAAGAAATTTTGTGAAAAATGCTTTATATAAAGTTTATCCTTTTATGTAAAAAAAAACAAACAACAACAACCGATTCAAGATGCTATATAATTGTAAAAAACTGATTAGGCGGCATATCATCACTGGTTTATAAGTTGTTTTGTGAGTTATGGCGTCTAAAAAGTTCGCATTTTGAAGTCTTGAGCTTAAGTGTCAAGTAATGAGTTTGTTAAATCACGTACTACTTTAATGTAGTCTTAATATACGGTTAGATATTTCTTAACATGATTTTAACATTAGCGAGTTGGCAAACACATGTTTGATGATTTTGTATGTGGGCGAATTGGCAYGTGCGAATTGGTCCGTGGGTGAATTGACTGGTTACCTTTTTCTATTTTGTCTTGGTTGTTTTTTAACAAGTTTATCTGAATCATGTAAACTTTGTTTTTGAAAACTTTTCTTTCTCACGCATGAAAACAGATGAAAAAAAATYGAATTAAAACAGAATCTCAAAATCTAGTATTTACAACTTATGTTTTCAAGCTTATCGAAAAGTAGTTGAGGCTTATATAAAAGGAATAAAAAAATTTTGATGATGAATTAGGATCAGAAAACTATTTAACTTTTAGGACCTTCATTTCACATGTTTAGTTAGTTAATGATCTCCAGCCAATTTTATCTCGCTGATGCTACCTAATCATTTATTTTCTTAATTTCATTGCGGTAAAAATATGGTTCTTACAAAAACCGAAACTCTTCATGGATAACCAAACATTGTCATGTAAAAGAAGTAAAAGTAAGCTTATATTATATGCCGTGTTCATTTTGTCGATAAAAAGATAGGAAATCTCTGAAATTTGGATTTTAATGAAACGACATCCAAGGTAAATTTCACTAAACTTGACATTTTATTGGATTATATGTACTTTTCGTTTTTCAAGTAAAATTAACAAGGAATTCAAAGCGTAAAAATGTCGGCCATGGAAAACTTTGTCGAAGAATTTTTCAAGAACAAAACTAGCCCCTGGGGTGGACAATGGTGGGTTGTGTACATGTGACAAAATTCCTAAGTGGGAGAGTACTAATGTCAAAAACAAAGATTTGTGCAAAGAAAAATATGTAGTGCATTTCCATTTCATATTTTTCCTTATATGCACCTATCAATGTCTTGCCCCCAACGGGTGGAGCCCAGGGGGACATTGTCTTCATCTCGATGGAAAGAAAAAATTGAAGATTTTTTGCCCAATGGATTTTTTTTTCATCTTTCGGTTTTATCTAAATTGGGATCCCTCTACTTTTAGGCAGTGCCTAAATATATATGTTACCAATATTTATCGATTGAACACGCCGGGATGTACATGTAACATGCATGTCAACGGGTAACGGGTATACCGCGAATAACCTTCATAATATTTTATAGATACCCTGAAACCATCACTGTACTAATGATTAAACCGCATAGAGCTCATTTTGTGTACCCACCTGATGTTGTAGAAGTAGTGGATCCCGATCCAACAGAAGGGGAGCCAAATGCAAAAGCACTGTTTCCAGGTATCGCGCCACTTGATGTACTTCCTGATCCAAACGTAAAGCCTCCTTGTGGCTTCACGACAGGCTGGCCTGTTTGTCCAAACATGGCTTGGTTTCGTACTAAAATGTCAGATTTTTAAGTCAATTTTTTCTTGCAACTTTGGAGACTTTCGGAGAGCTTTTTTTTCAGTTGCTCGCCATGTTCTGCGTGGTTACTTAGTACTTGTTTATAGTCCTACTCGGACCTCACTACACAGAAAGCCCAGAGCCATGTAAATGGTAGACTCTTCCACAGTCTCTCGCTCGTCCGTTCCGTCTCCACGCTTAGAGACTGTAACGGTACAATGTCCGAAAGGACAAAGGAGAAGACGGAACGGACGAGCGAGAGACTGTGGAAGAGTCTATGTAACTGGACTCTCGACTAACATCTTCACCACCTGTAGGATAGTCTCCCCCACAGCCGCTTTCAGTGTCGTCACGCAACGCTAAGCGGCTGTGGGGGAGACTACCTGTAGGAGGGAGGTGACTCAAATGATTGTGCATGTGAAGTGAACCTTATAAATATATTCTTTAAAACTATGATATGCAGATGGAAGAACTTTCAAAATCGAGATTTTTGTTGGTTTATGGGACACAGGGAACCCAAGATTATTGTTGCTGCTCACCAGGGCCCGGTTGTACGAAGRCCTGTGTTAGTGCTAGATTGGAACGTTACGCGTTTTCCCGTGTGCATTTTTCCGCCTTTGTTTCCAGACTTTAAATATGTGCATAATTTAGACTAAGTTAAGTTCACTCAAGCTCAATTAGTAATTTGTCAGTTCAACGTCGACCGTCTTAAGTTACACATCGTTTTGTAAGTATTTATTGCTGGGATACCTGTGGTATACCAGCTATAAAATGTCTTTGTTTTTTTKGTATTTTTTTTCTTCTCCGCAACAAAATGGCAAAGTTGCGCAATAGTACCCATACGTGGATTTAAATGACGTAAACTATTACCCAGAAGACCATTGCGGGTTTCTGCTATAGGTGCTGACTGCCTTGCTGTTAATCAATGTCAATATTTTGCGAAGTGATTAGGAGGGGGCGGAGCTAGATTATCACGTGACACAATTAAAGTCTACGCATGCT